GATATATAATTGTCCACCCAAATAATTTGTGTGCTAGGAGATATGACCCTCCAAAGTAGACCCTCGAAAAAGGCTTCACTTGGAAATTTTGGATTTTGATACGGTTGCTCTAAAATTCGGGTTAGACCCATCTTCCACTCAATTTGACCCCATGAATAAGAATATGAAGTCGAATTTCCGAAATCATGCATGGATTTTGAGATATATGGAAATTACAATTATAGGTGTTTCCGAAGCACATTTTCGGGCATTTTTGGGGTCGTTTCAGCAGTCAAGTTCTTTTTGTCCATCGTACAGACTAGATTGTCCCCTATGCAGGTGGACAATGTTGTGACATGGGATCGAGCGGTGATGCTGGTAAATATTATGGCAGGTTTAGAGATTGATCTCTTCAGGATCCTCATCACAGAGATACATGAGAGGTTGTTCCAAACGACGACCACCATGCCCTTTCCCTACCTCATTTTTCAGCTATGTAGAGAGGATATAGTACCAATGTGGCATTATGATAAGCTAATATAGGCGACTAAGACGGTTGATGTGGGACTCTTTAAAGATGATGCAAACCGAGCAGCTCTTAGGAGAGGTATAAAAATTGACTTAACACCCATGAATTGTAACACGCCAGAAAACTTTTGAACTAAGACTCGAACCATCCTTCGTAGTGAGTACGTTTTTACCAAGGAATTTAAAATTTTCCTAAGTGTTAAGGTCCGTAGATGTAGCACCTTGAGTTCCAAGAAGAATTAGAGAGAATTCATCGAAGTCATTCCTAAGCTCTTCTATGTTTTGGGTCAACTTCAAGCGACCCTAACTCTTAGTACAAGATGATTTAAGTGTGCCATGAGTTGGAAAATTAAAGGCCTTTAAATTATGTTTCCAACTCCATCGAGTTTGCTAAGTTTCGAGTTCAGATAAGTGAGATATGCCCTTTTGAAGTCAAGTTGTCCAGTTAAGGAGAGTTACCCGAAAATTGTAAGGGGTATTTTGGTCTTTTCCTTACCCAATCAGATTTAATTCATTTGTAGTAATATTTTATTGAAGGCATAATATTGTTATCTTAAATCAGGTTGAAGAGAAAATCACAAAATTTTATAAACAATTGCTAGGTACTGCATCACCTAGTTTACTAGCAGTGGACATAATTGTCATGGGTGGTGGTAATGTTCTATCAAGAGACTAACAACTACAGCTAGTCACGCAGGTGGAGATGGAAGAAATATGGAACTAGCAGGCATCAGTGACACAAAGAGCCCTGGGTATGATGTGTTGATGAGAGAAGAGATCACTAGTGTTGTTATGGAATTCATTAAATGTATAAACCAATTAAATGCACCTCCATTACTTTGATTGCAAAGGTTAAAAATCCTGTCACTATGAAGGATTTCAGGCCCATTTCATGTTGTACAATTTTATACAAAGTGGTTTCAAATGTTTTAACTAATAGGTTGCAAGGAGTAATGGATTTTTCTGTTCGTTAAATCACAGAATGCTTTTGTCCCTGGTAAAATGATTGCTCATAACTTAATCATGAGTCATGAGCTTATCAAAGGCTATGGGAGAACTGGTATTTCAACGAAATTCATGCTCAAAATTTATATGCAAAAAGCATATGATTCAGTGGAGTGGCCCTATCTGCAACAAATACCACAACTACTGGGAATTCCTAGAATTTTTGTAGCATGTAATATGGAGTGCATCACAAAAGTGTCTTATTCCATTCTTATTAATGAAGCTCATTCCGCTTCATTTCCTGCAAAGAAAGGATTAAGGCAAGGAGACCCTATCCTCCACTATTTGTTTGTACGAGCCATGGAATACCTCTGCAGGCTTGTTCAGGGGTTGCAAGAAGATGTACTGTTCAAATTTCATCCTAGATGTTCAAAACAAAAAATCACCCAGCTTAGCTTTGCTGATGATCTACTATTATTTTGCAATGGGAATGTGGATTTAGTTGATAGATTATTTAGCAAGTTCAATACCTTTTCTCGAGCTTTTGGACTTGTAGCAAATCCTACTAAAAGTTCTACATATTTTGGTGGAGTGTCGGAAGAGGTGCAACAACAGATACTAAGGATATTGGGATTTGAAAAAGGTACCCTCCCATTTAGATATCTTGGGGTTACCCTGAGTTTGAAGAGGCGGTCAGTTGTACAGTGTGAGCGACTAATTGAAAAAATGATAGGGCGAGTAAGTTCTTGGACTGCAAAAGTTTTATCATACGCTGGAATTACTCAATTGTTAAAGAGTGTATTATTTGCAATCCAAACTTTCTGGGCGAGAGTGTTAAGGTCCCTAGATGTAGCACCTTGAGTTCCAAGAAGAACTTGAGAGAATTCGTCGAAGTCATTCCTAAGCTCTTCTATGTTTTGGGTCAACTTCAAGCGACCCTAACTCTTAGTACAAGATGATTTAAGTGTGCCATGTGTTGGAAAATTAAAGGCCTTTAAATTATGTTTCCAACTCCACCGAGTTTGCTAAGTTTCGAGTTCAGATAAGTGAGATATGCCCTTTTGAAGTCAAGTTGTCCAGGAAAGTTACTCGAAAATTGTAAGGGGTATTTTGGTCTTTTTCTTACCCAATCAGATTTAATTCATTTTTAGTAATATTTTAAGGGTCTAATCCTATTAGGTTCTATTTTATAATCCGAATATACGGCTAGGGTTTTAGTTGAGAGTTCAAGAAGAGAAAAGAGGAGAAAAGAGGAGAGTATCAAAGCATTCGTCGAGATTCTTGCGTTTTGTTGCGGATTTTTGCCATGGGTTTAAATTCTAAGAGGTATGTAAGCTTCCATAGTGTTGGGTTTGTTCACCCACATGCCAATCATGTTATTTTCAGCGCAATTTCATTCTTGAAGTTGAAAGATTAGAGTTCTTGATGAGTTCTTGAAAATTGTTCTTGAAGTTCATCCTAAATCTTGTTTTGTTGGGGTTTTGATGATTTATTGAGATGAAAGTTAGTGTTTTGAGGGATTTTTTGAGTAGATTAGAGTGTACTTATGTTAAGTAATCGAATCCAAGTGATTGGGGTTTTCTGGGTTGGGGCCTGGCACGTCGTGCCAGATAGTGCGCCCCAAATTATGGTCTGTAGATTAGGGGCTGGTTCCCTGCACCACTCAGTGTGCCAGGGTCGCCTTCCCCGTCCAGTTTGCAGTCGGTTTCTCCGTTTGAGTTCTTTTAAAGTGTACCTTCACTTCCTTTCGGTTATAACTACTCTAAGCTACTTCTAAACACCTAGAAATCATTCATAACATGATCATAACCTTGAATTCATAATTTAAATTCAAGGTATAGTTAAGAGTTAAATTTTAAGAATTCTTTTGAACATTCTAAGAAAGTCCCTTTGAGTCCTTTTGTGGAGTCTTCTACAAATTCTAGTAACTTGTTTCAAGACTCGAGAAAGTGAGTATGAGAATGAGGAGAATGTATTCATGAGTCTACTTTATCATCACGATATCCTTCATATCATGAACCATAACTCTTGAATTCATAATTCACATTCAAGTGAGAGTTAAGAGTAGAGTTCAAGAAAGTCTTTGAGTTCAATTGTGAATCCTTTGAGATCAACTATCGATTTGAGCTAAGTTTTGAGGAAGTAAGTATAATAATGAGAAGAGTTGGATACATGGGTTCCATATTGTTATGTAGACCCTCGAGTCGAGTCGTTCATGCCCATAAATTCTGCATGAACTTCATAAATTGAGTACCTTTGAGAGGAGTAGTATATTCAAGTTCTAAGTCTTGAGTATTGAGTTCCTAACCCTTTTGTGATTATATTCCTAATCATGGAACTATTCCATGTTATCCATGAAGTCCTTAAGTTGAGTAGTTCATTCCCATAATTACGCATGAACCATATGAGTCAAGAAATCTTGAGATGGGGAGTATCATTGAGTCCTTGAGTTGAGTAGTTCATGCCCATAATTCCGCATGAACCTTATGAGTTGAGCATTCTTGAAATGAGTAGTATCATTGTAGTTCTTTTCTTCAAAAAGTATATGGAGACTAAGTATTCCCAAAGAGATTTAAAATGTTTTCACATTTAAATAAGAATGGAAACACGTCCATCATTCGGCATGAACCCTATTTTGAGAAGCCTTTTATAACTTTTTCTAAACTTGTTTTAAGGCTTGAGAACTTGAGTTGAGAAAAATTAGAGTCGAGTTCATTTTCCTTAAAATGATATATGGGAACTAAGTATTCCCAAGAGTAAATGTTTTCACATTTAAAAGAGGAGGAAACTGAGATTTCCAAAAGAGTTTTGAGCAGTTGAGTAACATCTCTTTTTTGAGAAAGATTTTGAGTAATAATCTCAAAGCACAGAAAGAGTTATGTTTTTAAACATATGAGCTGAATATATTTGGGAGTAGTATTGAGCATCGATATGGGGACGAGTTTAGGTAACTCAAGTCTCCATAAACCATATAGCTGACGTGGGTAGAAAGTGCTATACTTTTTAGATGATTCCTTAATGTTTTTTAGCATAGACTAGTGGATCCACTTAGTTGATAGGTCTTATATCGTGGCAAAGTATAGGACACTTTTGGCAGCGTGGGTGAGATGCTTTATCATCACATAGCTCATAGTGATGGTTGTCGGTTAAAGAAACTCCCACATAGTTATATCATATTTTATTATATAAAATTGAGTTGTTATTGTATACTTCAATATATTGAGTTGTGTTCTACTGTTTTAAAAGTTTTCCATATATTGCATCTTTTATTGTTGCTTATTATTGAGTATCTTGAATTGATTATCTTGAGTTGAAATGTGCTTCATTGAGTCGAGTACCTTATTATTGAGTTGAGCCCTATTTCACTGAGTTGAGAATCTTATTACCAAGTTGAGTATCTTATCCTTGAGTACTTCTGAGTTGAGTAAGTTTGAGTAGTTTTGAGTATTCCTTGAGTTGAGTAAGTTTGAGAAGAGGTAAGTATGTTTCTTTGCTACTAGTTCAAGCTTATGTTTATGCTTTAGATTTCCCCTTACATGCTCGTACATTCCACGTACCGAGCCATTTGGCCTACATCATTTCATGATGCAGCTATAGGTATTCAGGGTCATCAACAGGAGCTACGTTGATAGAAGATGAAGTTCAAGTTAGCTATGGTGAGCCTCCTTGCTTCCGGAGGGTTCCACATGTACTTTCAGTTATATCAGTTGTTAGGATGTCGTGGGTCTTGTCCCGACATCCATCTTTGTCAGTTAGAGGCTTCATAGATAGATAATAGAGTTTCAAAAGTATGTTTATTTATTTTGTTAAATGTTTTAGAGACTTAAGTTGCCTATTTTATGGCGAGTTGAATATATTATTTTTATTTAGAGTTTTTCATTTCAGTTAAAACTTTGTAATTGGGTTTCATGAATTTTTATTCAGCTTTTAAGCTTTGTATGCTTGAGTTAGTCTTCCGCTTGTAGTCAGCCAGGATGAGGGTTCGCTTGGGACCAACAATGGTTCTCAAGTGTCGACCACGTCCAGGGTGTAGGCTCGGGTTGTGACATGAATGATGCTACTGATGTTGACATTGAGCAGGTTGGGGTCAAGCAGGCAGATGATGAGACTATTCCTGCCACTACTGCAGAGAATGATGTGCATGATCTCCCTTCCACTTTATCTGTTCATGCTGCGAGCACACCTCGTGCTCCTACCCCTTATGGATATGCTTTGTTACCACTTGCTCGAGTCCAGAAGTTGGAGACTCAGATGGCCATTTTTCTACAACATATGAGGCCTTGGATGAAGAAGTCTGTTGAGAAGTAGGAAGCAAGGATGGAGGAAACAATTGACAGGAAGATTCAGGTAGTGCATCGAAGGATAGATGCATTTGAGCTCATGGTGATGGGTAGGCCTCAGCCCGGTCCTAATGTTGACCTGACTACTTTTCAGACGGAGTTAGTCAAACTCTGAGCTGATGTTGATGCCCTTGCTACTACAACAGAGGCTGCCCCAGAGCCTATATCTTAGTTAGATGATGATGATGTGGTGTTGAGTGCACTATTTGGAGATGATATGCCTTCTCTTGAACCCCCTCGTTCGGCTATTAAGCACACACAAACTTTTGGGACCCACTACTGATCCAGAAGAGGAAAGGCGGGATAGTAAAAGGGAGAAGCAACAACTTGTGACAACCCAACAACAGTCTATTCTTGATGAGGAGTTGAGGTAGCAAACTGTTGAGAGTGTTACTGAGGTCGTTAATCGTACTGATCCAGCTGGTTCCGAGAAATTGGACCCACCAATTTCTTGATTTGGCTTCTGTAACACCCCAAATTCGAGAAGGGCAAGACAACACTTTTCAGGAGTTGTAGGTGCCAACCGATGGAGAGTACCCACGACTCGTGGATGGGACCATGGACTGTAGGCGTAGTCTGTGGTTGGTCACCCCCAGCTTTTGACAGAAGCCTAGACCCATGGCCTGACCAACGTACCAGCGGTCAGTCAATAGTCCGTGGTCGAGGGTCCGTAGGTCAGGACCCCCAAATCTAGTTTCTAACCATGAACGATGGTCGTGCAAGATGGACCGTCGGTCAGTCCACGGTCCGTCAGTCATGGGCATCAGTGGTAGGTCGACAATTATTTTTAGGGGCAGTTGGGTCTTTTCCTAATTAATCTAGTCTAATACTATGTCGTTTTACCCTTTACTAAGACCCCTATATAAGTATTTTAACACCCAAATTTCCCCAATAGAAATCATTCTCTCAAATTTCTCAAAGAAGAACAAGTCTCCTCTCCAAAATATTTCTCTCTCTAGAAAGCTTGAAGAAGAAGGATTCAGCCTAGGGTTTCAAGTCAAGTCTCCATTCCTCCATTGAAGATAAGCAATTGGCTTTGAGGTATGATAGTTTTCATCCATGGATTCTTTCCATTCACGGAGTTCCCAAATTCTCCTATTTTCAAAGTTAGAAATCCCCAATTAAGTTAGGGTTTTCTTCAATTATCATGGGTTATCTTGATTATTGATTTAAATGATTGAATTATGATCTCTTATGCATGAATTGAGGAAATACTATTATTTTATGATGATTCCCCTATGAACCCATGTAATCCCCATGTTTTCCAAGTTATGATCATATGATGTGGGATTTTTATTATGAAGGAAGAGTTTTATGAAATCAAGCATATATTGATAGAATTACATGAATTTATAATGAAATCCATATCTAACCAATGTTTTCTAAATGATGATAATTGAAAGTGGGTTTTGAACCTTGAAAGGTTAATTATGGAATTATGCATGTTCTTTGAAATCTATGCAAATGTTTTAAGGATGCTTTGAGAGTAAAATATCAATGATGATATGGTGGTTGTGTTGTTGAAAGGATCTTCTCATATACACACAGAAGCATTATTGTGCAATGTTTTCTCACATAATAAAGATTCTAAGGTTGAAAGATCTTCTCACCTAATTTAATCAAAGATTAAGAGCTATCCTAATGAAATCTAGCTTGGATTGGTTATTGAATGATACTTTTCCTTGGATAATGACTTAGCTTGGATTGGAAAGATGACGTACCCTTCCATGGATAATAAGAACAAGTAACAAATGATTATTGAGCGGGATTTATGATTAGCACCAAGAGGATATTGAGATGGAAGCTCCACCGTTAGTAGAGGCCGAGTTTCTAGAAACAACCTCCTTATCCCTTACTAATGTGCCCCCATAGGATGATTGTCTAGATAGACATTAGCTAGTGGATACACCTAAGCTAGAAGTTCATGGTCCTTACCTTGGCAAGTAGGACAACCCTTTTCAGTGTGGGAGACACCGGGGGAGCATGTTATAGCTCACATCGTCTCTATGTCGGTTAAGGCTACTTTCCACAATAATAATGAACTAAGGTTACTTTAAAAAGTATCTCATATGTGTTCAAAGGCTTTAAAGATGTTAGCTTTCATTGACCATGTTTTATGACTCATGTTTTCTAACCTTTTTATATCATGTTTTAGCTTGGTCAATTGCATGTCATGAAATGTCCTCTTTTAGCATGATTTAAATGTTCTATGAATAGCTATCATACTTGGTACATTGTTTTGTACTAACGCATACTCTTGCTTACATTTCCCCAAATATAGGGTCTGACAGTCAGGTTTCTCAATTTCATGGCTAGTGGTTGATTGTGAGATTCCCGAGCTTTGGTGAGTCCTAATGTTTCGAGGATGGATTTTCATTGTTCTTAGTTTTATTTCATATTTCCAGTTTTGGACATGATGTATGGGCTAGGTCCAATTTCATTTTATTGTACTAGATGGCTAATGAGACAAGTGCTTTAGACTTCCGCTTTACTTTTATAAAACTTGGACTTGAAATGTTGTCTTTACCTCTTTTTTTCTATTTCTTATGTTACGAATGCTAAGTGTCCTGTATGGGGTCTCTCGGGGTCCTATACGCCATGTTACATCTAGGGTTTACCCTGGGTCGTGACAAACTTGGTAATCAGAGCACAAGGTTTAGAATGGTCCTAGGATGTCTCATAAGCCACATCGAGTAGAGTCTTGTTCATGAGTGTGAAGCGCACCACATTTATTAATGAGAGGCTACAAGATGTTTAGGAAACTCCACTTGTTTCATTACTCTAAAGTTGTGCGATAAAGTTTAACTCTATAAGGTCTCTCTCCTAATTCGTATCCGATGCTCTACAGGATATGGCTACTCGAAGAGCTTATGCTAGAATAAATGTGAGGGAGAATGCAGAACAAGAAGCTCCTCCCCAAGCTCCTCAAGTTCCGGTCGATCCTTTGGCCGAGAAAGGGACTAATGCGGAGTTTAGGGCTGCTTTCTAAGTGTTGGCTCAAACAATGATGGCCCAAGCCAATAGGGATGTTGCGGTTCCTGTGAACCAACATGTGCGTACGACGGCATCTAGAGTGAGGGACTTCACTAGGATGAATCCTCTGAAGTTTTATGGTTCTAAGGTTGATGAAGATCCTCAAAAGTTCATTGATGAGGTTTATAAGGTCTTGATAATCATGGGAGTGACATCGGTGGAAAAGGCGGAGTTGGACGCTTATCAACTTAAGGGTGTGGCTCAAATATGGCACAACCAATGGAAATAAGGGAAACTGGAAGATGCGGGTCCTCTTGATTTGAAGAAGCTTAGGGCCGCTTTCCTTGATAGGTTCTTTCCCCTTCAGATAAGGGAGGCAAAGGTGCTTGAGTTGATCAACTTTCGACAAGGAAGTATGAGTATGAGGGAATATGCTTCGAAGTTCACACAATTCTCTAAATATGCTCCAACAATGGTTGCCGATCCTAGGGCAAGGATGAGTAAGTCTGTTTCAGGTGTGTCAGAAATGGTGGTTAAAGAATTGTCAAAAATGAAGCGAAAGTCTACATAGTCTCAAAGTTATCTACTACATCAAGAGTGATTGGGATTGACACGACCTAGGGGTACCTCCTAGATGTAATGGCACATAGAACCCAGAAGGACCCCATGTAAGACACTTAGCATATCACAACATAAGATAATAGAAAATTATGGAAATTTAAAACATTTTTCAATACAATCAAAATTTCATAAAATGAAGCGGAAGTCTATTACAATTGTCTCAAACTATCTAATACTTGAAAAGAGTTAGGGACAAAGCCCATACAAAAGTCTAAACATAAAAGAAAGACATAAAAGGAAAGGGTGATCACGATGCTATGAGGACTCACCAAAACATCTCTTCTTGATCTACTATGAGCCTAGCCACGAGAATGGAAGTCAATATCACCGAACCCTACATTTGATAAGAATGTACGCAAAAGTATGTGTTAGTACAATAATGTACTAAATATGATGGCTAGCATAAATCATCAACATAAGCATATAAGAGATATTAGTCAATATAAGACATATACCGTAATCATAAGAGACAATAACATAAGTGAAGAGCAGAAGAGACATCATAATAATACATAGGCTATAAGCATAAGAGATAACAACATAGTCAGAAGCATAATGCATCTAGTTTAACATAACATAAGAGAAACACTTCAAAAGCCACCTCAAGGCATGCTTCTGCAAGGCATGGATAAGATTCCATAATCCCACCCATGCTAAGCAAGTCACTTTAGGTTCTCATTCATACCTATCATCACTTAATCTCATCCTTAGCTTACTTCTCATAGACAAGGGAATATTCACCTTTAGTCACATATGTATTGGAATGGCCTTTCAAGCTACAATCCAAACTATGCATACATCATAATCATAAACCATAGGCATATTCAACATATATATTATCATAACATGAGAGGAACTTACCATAATCACCCTCGAAGCATAGTTGTTCAATGCATGAATGAGATCCCATAATCTCACCTATACTAAGTAAAGCTTCTTGAGTAACCATAGTTCATAATTCATATTCTTGTGGAATTTAGCCTTAATCGACATAGACCATGTGAGATAAAAATGGAATCCGGTGTCTACCCACATCGAAAAGGGGTTGTCCTACTAGCCTAAGGTAGAACCATACTCTTAATTTAGGTGGATCCAATAGCTAAGTAACCTACGGGGGCTCGTAGTTTATGGGATATGGAGAATGCTACTAGAAACCCATACTCAACTAAGGTATAAGGTTTCCATCTCATGAGATACATACTTTGGGAACCCGGACTCCACTATTGTAGAAGGAACCCATTTGGAAAGCCGGACTCAACTAGTGTAAAAGATTTCATTTAGAAGCCAGACTCAACTAGCGTAAACGCTTCCATCTCATATTCAATATCCACTAGGTGCTAAGCATATTTCCCATTTGAGTTCATATTAAATCTT